AAGAAAGATGATACTGTTTGAAAGAACATGGCTTCAAAATTGTTTTAAAAGATTTATTCTTGTCTGTTAAAAATGTGAACTGAGGAGTAAGAGGACACTTGGTACTTCACTGCAAAATAAGTCCAGGGGTTAAGGAAGCTTCCAGAATGCCACAGTGGTAGCAGACAAGAATGTCCTGATTGCCATCACTGCAATGATCCTGAGGCACCCCCAGGATCCTGGATCGGCTCCAACTGGGGTTTCTATCAACTGGTGCATTAAACAAGAACTACAGGGCTTTGCATCCAGTATTAGTACACAATCCCCTTCTCTCAAAAGAAACTTACCTAGCGCATCTGTCTTCATCATTGCACAGAAGGAAAATGTGGGTGTAGAGGAAGGTGGGAAGCAAAGGAAGAACAGGGCTAGGAGGTAACTCACTACAGGAGAAAGGCGAGAAGCCAGCGGTAACTTTTAATGACCCTCGTGGGAGCAGGGTGACTTTACAAACAGCATCTGATTTAATCCTCACAACCACTCAGGGAAGCAGGCACTGTTCCGTTCAGTCCAGTTCAGTCGCTCAGTCGTGTCCGACTCTTTGTGACCCCATGGACTGCAGCATGCCAGGCCTCCCTGTCTATCACCACATCCCAGAGTTTACTCAAACTCGTGTCTGTTGAGTAGGTGATGCTGTCTAACCATCTCATCCTCCGGTGCCCCCTTCTCATTTTGCCTTCAATCTTTCCCAGCATCAGGGTCTTTTCCAATGAGTTAGTTCTTCGCATCAGGTGGCCTAAGTATTGGAGTTTCAGCTTCAGCATCAGTCCTTCCAATGAATATTCAGGACTGATTTCCTTTAGGATGGGCTGGTTGATCTCCTTGCAGTCCAAGGGACTGTTATTCTCTCTGTTTTTCAACTGAAGAAACAGGTGTCAGGAGGTGAGGTACTCAGCTCCTGCAAGCTGCTGCGCTTGGAGGGGGCTGGGTAGCTCAGAATCTCCCCCCAAGCGCCTTAACCTCACTTTTATCAGGGCCAACCTAATTTCACACATGGCCTATATTCCCTTGTGCCCAAGTTAATTTGTGAGATTGTCCTACATTTCCCCTTAGAGAGCGACTCTGTTTGAAGGCTCTTCGTCACCAGGGCACAAACATCTTTTCTAACGGGTACTGTTTCTGCTAATGAAGGCAGACTGAGAGCTGGACAGGGCAGGAGGGCAGTTCCTGACTCACCCTCTTTGGCTTCTTCTATGAAAATGGACCCTGGGGATTCAAAAGCAGCAAGATGATCAAACGCATGGCTGGAATACCACTCTTCAAATGGCTGGAAAACATCTGAACATGGCTTCTGTCTGACCCAGAAATCAGGCTTCTACAACTGAAATCTGTTCAGACATTCACCCAAAATATCTCTGCCTCTCCTTTCTCCCAAAGTGCCTCTGGAACCATAGAACATCTCCACTCAAGTATTCCGGAACACCTCCTCCCATTGGCAAAGGAGGACCGAAGTGATCTAATTTTAGGGTCTAACAGTTGGCATGCAATTAAAACTATATTTATTATGGGCTTCAGAGAAGAATAATTTATTTATGGGTAAATTAGGATCACTGTAATACAAACATGCTCCCACGGATTGGGAATTAGCTATGCTCAACCAGAGACCGTAAGAACTCTGCCATTTTTACAATATGGGGCTCTCTTGTTTCAAAACAAGCAAGAGATCAGATGCTTCAAGTCCACTCTATACCATCACTTCCAAGCCCTGTGGCAGGGTGCTAGTCAAGACTGTATTTTAGCATTGGTTATGATCTGAGGAATTTGATCAAAGGATACTATAAACAAGATGTGTTCCCCTTCCTGAAAAGGTATTATACCAGTGTTAAAGTTCAGAAAAGCAGACTCAGACTATTTTGGTTTTGTTTTTTGCTTTCCAAAGTTGACCAACCAGAAATTCAGGCTGGAATAGATGAGTCTAATTAAGCTGATTTATTTTGTGTCATTGAATTAGGTAGAAGAGCATGCCTTATTGTATAAATAATGAGAAATACCAATAGAATAAGTGAAATCACTTACAGTGTGCAACCACAGTTCTCTCGAGAACAAGGTTTCTATAATACCTTTTATTTTCTGTTTAAGAGATTCTCAACCTGGTCATAGAATGTCCCCACCTTCACCACAGTGGCTTTACAAAAATACATAAAGTATAGAAAAGTACCAGAAATTATGTGTCCCTCTCAACTCAAAAACTATATCACAATATTCTGTGCAGAGTAAAACATTTTGATTTTAAACTTGTTTTTGTGTCCTGATACAGGAAAAAAATCTAAAAAATAGAGCTAGGATCTAGTTGTATAGCTCCCTGTCATCTGATCTTTTTCCCCCAGGTTGAGGAACTTATATTATTGGTAACCAGTGTCTACATTCTCTGGATTACGTGTTTCTGCATCTCCTTTTTCTGCCCCACTCACGAGCATGTACTGGCCCAGGCAGAAGTGCTTCTACATGATTTACAACTAGGACCTTTATGGTTTAACCCATTCAGCATAAGGAGACATGAGAGTTGATAATTATCCCATTTCCCACCCAAACTGAATACACAGACATCCTCCTCTTGGGTCAGTCTTCATCATCACTGAACCTATTTTATTTTCATGGAAACATTTATTACTAAATGAAATAGTCTTGTTCATTTTTTCATGTAATTGTTTAGCATCCATCTCTTCTTAAAACATGATTTCCGTGAGGTTAGAGAACTTGTCTTTGCAATTCATTCTCGTGACCCAGCATCTAGAAGACAGCCTGGCACATACAGATATTTGATCAAAGTTTGCTGAAGGAGTGAATTCCCCAATGATTCTGGGGAGTACAAAGGATTTGCTCTGAAAGAGAGTACTCAAGGTTCTGAGACTCTTCCAGATAGAAGGAGTCTTATAAGTCACTCAGAGTTGGCAAATTTTTGCTAAAGGACCAGATAGTTGTATTTCAGACTTTGTAGGCCTTACAGTCACGGCCATGACTATTCACGTCTGCTGCCACCCATGAAAACAGCCCTAGGGAAAGAACATTTGTGAATGAGCCTGGTTGGGTTCCAAGAAAACTTCATGCACCAAAAAAAAAAAGATCAGTGGTGGGACCTCCCTGGTGGTTCAGGGGCTAAGACTCCAGGAGCTCGCAATGCAGAAGGTCCTGGGTTTGATCCCTCGGCAGGGAACTAAGTAAAACCCATATGCTGCAACTGAGTTTGCATGCTGCAAGTAAAGATCCCGCAAGCCACAACAGAGACAGATGATCCCACGTGCTGCAAGTAAGACCTAATGCAGCAAATAAATACTAAAAACCGAAACAGTCAGTGGTGGGGTTGATGGGTGCTGACTCCTTCTAGACCACCGGTCTCCTGCCCAGTGACTTCCCAAGAACACCTTTCACCAAGGGCAATAAAAGAAAATATAAGGATGTTTCTGTGAAGCTTTTCATAATGCTAATTTTTTTCATCTTAAAAGCTGTCCTTTCTTCCGCATCTATGTCCTTCCTTACTTTTTCAGTATTCAAAAGTATTTCTTCAGGTAAAATATGGTTTATAGCAAATTATTCACTTCGTATTGTCAATATCCCTTCTTGGAAAAAGAAAAGTTGGGCACACTAATGGAATTCCAAAATACTTCTTGGAAATTTTTTTCTATCCAAGAAATTCAAACAGCAGAGAACTACTATGGTTCAAGCCCAGAGATGTCATTCTACAACCCGATTCTTATTTAAGGTCAAGAGAGTCCTTTCTATTTAGGGTGAACAGAAGGGATTACTGAAAAGCTCCTAGAAGTTCGTGGAATCTGGGAGGACAGAGAACTAGGCGCTAGAAGAAAGCCACCCCGCACCCTGACTGAGCTGGCGGAACCCAGGCCTCTCGACCGCCTGAATCCACACCAGCAGGGGCTGGACGCTAGAAACGCCGCCTCAGCGGCCCCAGAAGAGCGGACGCCTCCAGCACCACGCTGTCCGCAGGACCGGGCTCCAGCCCAGTCCCAGGCCTAGCCGCTGCCTGCCAGCTTGCACGCACGCCGCGTCTCACAGATCCCGGGGCTGAGCTGAAGCAGCATCACAGGCAGAGAGCCCTGGGGCCAGGTGGGTGGGAAAGAAACGCTCTGCGCCGCAGCCTCCCTGATCAGGAGAAAAGGGCGTTAGAGTGTGTGCTGAGTAAACCAGTTTCCGGCACCTTCCCTGAGAATCGGGAGGCCCGGAGCTCTTCCCCTTTCTCTCTACACAGGTTCCGACTGTTCCAGAGGACAAGGAAGCGTTGGCCTCAGGATCTGTGGCATAACCGCATTTCCAAAGAGAAAAGTAGCATATCCAAGGGGTGCCTGGAGGGCTGACACCACCGGAACATTTCCACTGAATACTGAAGAACTTTTTACTCAGATAATTCAGACCTCAAAACAGTTCTACCTGATCATTAAGGCAAAAGGTAAGAAACACATTAACAACCCCCACCCCTACCCCCAAAAAACCCTTAAAATCTGAATAATCACTTCAGTCATTTTTTGTACTTAATAGACATATCCTGAAACCCTGCAGTTCAATAGGGTGTGGTGAGGAGCTGCTTTTTCTAAACAATGCACATACCTCTCAGACCTGAAGGGCATGTCACTAAAGCTGCCTGCTCCTGAACACAGAGGATTCTCTTAAACAAAGCAAACCAAGGAAATCACATTAGTTTCTTTCCAGCTATTAACAGTTCATTACTGTGAACTAAGAGCTGGAAACAGCACAATTAGACAAGGAAAGTTTGACTTATAATGAAAGTTGTTTGATGCGATATTAATAATTCCACTAATCCGAGACTAAAGTAAACACAAAGTTTCAGTAATTGTTACACTTGGACAGTGGAATTATAATGACAGTCATTTTTTTTTTAATTTCAAAAATATATATAGCTGTCCCTCGGTATCTTCAGAGAACTGGGTTGCAGGACCCCTCCCTGGATCACAAAATCCACAGATACTCAAGTCCCTTATACTGTATTAAATGGCAGTGCTGAGGTACACAGAAAGCACATCATGGGTCAGAACGTTGCAGATTACATGCGTTACCTGATTGAAGAAGATGAAGATGCTTACAAGAAACAATTCTCTCAGTACATAAAGAACAACGTAACTCCAGACATGATGGAGGAGATGTATAAGAAAGCTCATGCTGCAATACGAGAGAATCCAGTGTATGAGAAGAAGCCTAAGAAAGAAGTTAAAAAGAAGAGGTGGAACCGTCCCAAAATGTCACTTGCCCAGAAGAAAGCTCGGGTAGCTCAGAAGAAGGCAAGCTTCCTTAGAGCTCAGGAACGAGCTGCCGAGAGCTAAACCAAACCACAATTTTCTATCAAGATTTTTCAGATAAGACAATAATAAACTTATTGAACAAGCAAAAAAATAAATAAATAAATAAATGGCATACATAGCATTTGCCTATAACCTATGCACATCCCCTGTGTATACTTTAAATCATCCCTAGGTTATTTATAATATGTAACACAATGTAAATGCCATGGAAGTAGTTACCAGGGCACAACAAGCTCAAGTGCTGCTTTTTGATCCTTTCGGGAATTATTATTCTGAATACTTTCTATTCACAATTGGTTGGGTCTGTGAATGTGAACCTGTGAATACAGAAGGCCAACTGTACTATGTATATATCATCCTTTTTTAAACAAAGTGCAATTTACTACCAAGAGATATCAGTACTTAGGAATCTCTTTATAATGCATTTATTATTTTTACCCCTTCATTAAATATGTATAGTTCATTAAGTTCAGGACTGTATTTAAAATATGTGAAAATGTTAGTCAGTCTGACGCTTTGCGAATATATGCACCTAAAAAGATATTTGAGATATCATCCTCTTCTCAAGTTCACAGCTGAATCAACAAAACTGAATAGCCAATGATGTCACTACAAACTCTACAAGAGGCATAAGTGTTCTTAGAGTATTTGTGTTAAGAGAAACTGTTTGTTTTTCAGGAAAGAGGTATGAATGCTGATGTGTGCCTGTAATTACCGGATGGACAGTTTATTATCCCGTGAGGGGAGGTGGGGTTGGGGAAGATTTGAACAGTGAACACTGCCTCGTAGTGAAGAAAATAAAAGACTCACACCCAGAGTGGTTCCTGTTTACCAGACCTCAGTTCAGCAGTGTCCTCAATTTATAGAACTCAATAATCAAACATATCATTGGTGATTATTTGTGTACCAAGCCCTCTTTTGACATGTTGCTTTTTTTGACAACATGTTGAAAAAGTTATGGCCACTGCATTTTCCAAAAAAAACAAAAGACAAAAGATGTTATATGTGTCGGTCTGTTTAGGTTGTTATAATAAAATACCAGAGACTGAGTGCTTATCAACAACAGAAGTTATCTCTCACAGTTCTGGAGGCTGGACGTCTGCTGAGATCAAGGTTCTGGGAGACTTGGTGTTTAGGGCCTGTTTCCTGTATAAAGACTGGAGGCGGTCTTCTCACTGTGTCCTCCCGGGCTGGAGGGGGTGGGGAGCTCTCTGAGGTCTCTTCTGGGAACACCAATCCCATTCATGAGGGCTCTGCCTTACCACCTAACTGCCTCCCAAGTCTCACCTCCTGATACCATCACACTGGGGAGAGGGTTTCAGTGGATGAACGTGGGGGTGAGGACACAAACGTTCCTCCCGAGCATCACACCCCAGCGTTTGCAAAGAGCAGGCTGAAAAGACTGCCCAGCAGGGCTCTGAACGCCAGAGCCAGGCCCCTCCCGCACTGCTGTTTTTCCAAGGCCTTTCATTTACTCAGGTAGAAAGCAAGACTTTAAAGCAGTGGGACCTAACCCTGTCCTAGTCCTCTTCCTTTGGCTTCTATGACAATTCTCTCCTGGGCCTGTGGTCAATTTTCCAATCCACGAGTCGTACTGAGGTGGCACCCGCACAGTTCTGAGGCCTGTGTCTCCACCAGCATTGGAAATCTGGCCGCCTCTGAAATGTGTTTACATTCCCGGGCTTCACTCACAAAGAAGCCGTCTTGCTTCATCGATGTCTAGGTTGCAACTTGCTCACGTTTTTATAAAAATGGAGCTGGTATTAGGGCAAAGCTGAGTCTACTGGCTATAAAAAGGGTTGTGTCACCAAGGAACAAAACCAGAAGCAATGTGTGGTCCTCCCAACTACAGCATCTCCAGGGAGAATGGAGCTAATGTCTGCACAGGGATTTGGAGCTAAACCACGTGTCTCCTTCTTCCAATCTATTCACTTCTACTGACCTAAACATAGGCTGAGAAATTAAAAAAAAAAAAGAAAGCAGCATGTCCATAGGTGGCTCAGACTTAAGCTGTCAGGGCTGACGGCCTTCAGCTTTGACAGATGTCAGCTGCTGGGGTCAGAGAGGCATCTGGGAACATGCTCACCGTTTGAAGCAGCCGGCAGATTTAGCAGTAAGGCCTGAGTGTCTGGTAAGTGGTTTCAGATAAACAATACTTTCATCCATCCTGACCTAGCTACCTGGGTGGCATGCTGGTGTCCTGGGGAGAAAGAATCGTGTGTTCCAGGCCTGATAAAGCTCTCCAAACTCCACAAGGCTCCGGAACTGACGCAAGCCTTGGCAGCGGTGATCTGGCAGCTTCGCATCCGTACTACCTGCCTGGAAGCTGACAGCTATGCAGGCTTCGTAAGGAAGACTTGTGCTCAACATGAGGATAACTTTTTTTTCCTTAAGAAACAGAGAGTCAAATTAACAGAATTTTTAATTTTGGAAAGTAGTGAGCACCTTAGCACTGCAAATGTTTTAGCAGAGATTAAAAAATCGGATGGAAAGTTGACCTTTACGGTCTCTTCCAGGGTCTTATGCTTCTTGCTGAAAAGTAGACTCAAATGTGCCATGTTTCTCTGCCACTTCTGTTCAGCTCATTTACATATGCATGAGAAATTGTTACGTATCAAGAGTCAAGAAACCCACTTTCTTACCTGACTGTACCACTGTGATGGTTAATTTCATGCATCAACTTGACTAGGCCACAGGATGCCTGGATATTTGGTTTGTGTATTTCTATATGTTTTGGGGTGGAATTAACATTTATATCAATAGGTTTAACATTAGACTAACATTTTAATCAGTAAAGCAAATTGCTCTCCCTAATGTGGGTGGGCCTCATGACCCTCCCTCAAGTGAAAGAGAATTCCCCAGCAGACAGCCTTGGAACTTGATCTGCACCAATAGCTTGCCCCAGTCTTGACCAGCCGGCTCCCCCTGCACACTTGGACCTGCCAACCTTTACAACTGTGTGAGCCAATTCCTTTTAACAACTCTCTCTCTCTAGAGACTCACAGGCTTAGAAAATGAACTTATGGTTGCTGGTGGGGTGGGGGGTGGTGGTGATGGGATACTTAGGGAGTTTGGGAAGGCCATGGATCACCAAGGACCTATCATAGCGCACAAGGAACTCTACTCATCGTTATGTGCCAGCCTGGACGGGAGGGGGACTGGGGAGAGAATGGATACAGGTATCTGTATGGCTGAGTCCCTTCACTCTTGACCTGAAGATCACAACACGGTTAATCGACTATGAAAGTGTTAGTCGCTCAGTCGTGTCCAACTCTTGCAATCCCATGGACTGTAGCCGACCAGGCTCCTCTGTCCATGGAATTCTCTAGGCAAGAATACTGGAGTAGGTAGCCATTCCCTTCTCCACGAGATCTTCCTGACCCAGGAATCAAACCTGGGTCTCCAGCACTGCTGGCAGATTCTTTACTGTCTGAGCCGCCAAGAAAGCCTAGTGAGTTGGCTGCACCCCAATACAAGATAAAAAGTTTACATTTTGAAACAAATAAATCTCTTTCTCTATACATTCATATCCTATCGACTCTGTTTCTCTGGAAGATCCTAACAACTTTTTTCTCAGTCTCCTTTTCAGCCTCCATTTTCCAATCTAAATGAGGGCAGCATTCTAATGTTGAGTTCTCAAAAATCTTGCCTGTGTAAATCTCCCCATAGGTGAGATCAGCCAGACCCATGGCTTGAAATATCATCATCCCGACACTGACGGCTATATTCCAGCCCCAATCTCTCCTCAGAGTTACAGACTGGACTACACTTCACATTTCTTCTTGGATATCCAATAAGATCCCAAGTGTAACATCCCAGACAGAACTCTGCCCTCCACTCCCACCCTCTCCCCACTCCACTCACCCATCTTAATTAATGGTACCACCATATACCTAGTTGCGCAGGCTCAATACTTAGAAGGCATCCTTGATTCCCTCTTATTCCTTCATATCTAATAGTCAAAGTTTTAACAAGATATATCAGTCATATCCAAAATATATCCCAGCTCTGTCCACTTATCACTTCTACCACCTTGTCTCCCTCCATCCTAGCTCCTCTCCATCTTTTNGGTGATGGATAGGGAGGCCTGGGGTGCTGCAGTTCATGGGGTCACAAAGAGTCAGACACGACTGAGCAGCTGACCTGAAGTGACTGAACCAGGGCCTCAGAGGCACGACACACTCCCCTGCTCCTCTTTCTGAACTTCTGTCCTACCACTCACCTCCCCTGGTCTTCCTGCTACTTCTGGAACATCTGAGCTGATTTCCCATCAAGGACTTTACTTTTGCTGAGTCCTCTGCTCCAAAAATTCTGTCCACAAATCTTCACAATAGCTTCCTCCTTTCCCATATTCACATGTCAGCTTAAACCTCACGTCCTAAGAGGGGTCTTCCCTAACTACCCTATCTCCTTTACCCCTGCCCTCTAACCCCTAGGACTACTGGGATTTCTTCACAGCACGTGTGCTTGCCTTGAATCAGGGTGACCTCGAGACAGACTTTATACCACTTGCTTCCTGGGTCTGGATCTTAGGACCCACTTGCAGAAGAGGCTGGGCTTCCAGACTACCCCAAACTTACCAGTCAGTACCCCCAAACTTACCAGTCAGTACGAAAGGAAATTCCCGCCTTATAACCAGTTAAATCCCGACAGCAAGGACAAAGAGACAAAGGTCTCCAGAAGTGCATGTAGAAGGTACATTCTGGGCCTGATCTGGGTGTACAGACCTCATAAGGGCAGGAATGAAAGGAAAGGCACTTAAAGCTTCAATTTAGAAAATCTCATCATCACTCACAAGTAGAGTGTAGAGCCAGTCACTGCTGCTGGGTTTCAGAGAGTGGCAGAAAAGACTGGGTGTTCTGTTTTACAACTGTTAAGAAAGTGACAAGTTGCCAAGCATTTGTTTATAGAGTCCCTGACTCCTTGCCCTCATATCATCACTCAGTCCATCAGCAGTCCTTCAAGAACTATCTCTAAGCGTTAGCCTGCGTCCTTCCACTTCCAGGCCCATTACCGGCAGCACCATCTTTCACCCAGACTAGAGTAAGAGCCTTCTACAGGTTTCCCAGCTTCCACTCAAACAACTGATTC